ATTAAGTTTACTCATTTATAGAGCGCTTCGTCTACCGCAATTAGGCCTCAATGACTTAAGTTTTCAGCCCTTGCTCAACCTTTTTTCCAGTCTCTAGACTGCTCTGCTATTTATTTTGGAATTTTCGCCATCGGCACCGCCCATTTCGATGTGTGCCCCGCCCAACGGGGGCGAAGCTCCTCCTAGCTGATATGCGTTTTGTAGAACTTGGCCAATGCTTCACCCATCCTAAACTTGACCCTGTCTCTCTGGGTGGATCTCCAGGTAATGCCGATTTTTGTGACACAAACGGATAGACGGACGAAGCGCTTGATATTAGGTAGGAAGGCATTTAACATCGTTACCTCACTAATGCTTGTCACAAATGTTCATTTGATAAGTTTGTCATCAGTTTCTTACAAATCAAAACACTACTAACATCTACTCCTCTCAATATTAGCAAACTGAGTTACTGTTTCCCCTATAAATGGGTGACTTTGGACCCATCCTTTATAATGTGAACGAAGAGAATGAAAAAATTGCGTTTTTTTTTCAAATAAACAGTCTGAAAACCTGTGGAAACTGTTACTCGTTCAATGTCCCTCTGAAACCCCCCCCCCCAATTGTTGGTGATGGGAACGCTTCCATTCGTTTCTTGAAGTGCCGTCACTAGCAAATCTTTATGAAATTCTCATCTATGACAGAAACATTTCAGTCTTCTACTGCACCTTGCTCTCAGAGTGCGGATTTTCGAGCTCAATTCCTTCTTAGGCCGTTGTCAGACTTTGCGAATCGAGCGATTCGCCAGCCTCGCCCGCCGCGACGCGACCGCGGACGCTAGCGAATCGTTCGACTCGCAAAGTCTGACATCGATCTTACGGCACGTCACCAAAATATGGCCGCCCCACATCTTCATTTGTCCCATGCGCAGTTTTGTCTCTGCCCAAGAGTCAATGAATGTCCACTAAGTGTGATTTTGAAGGATTGTCTCTTTGAAAACTGAAAACTGGACTGTCATGCATGAAGTATGTACGCTGCAACTAATAACCATGAGTTACGCATTGGTGCAGGAAAGGGGAACAACGTGTTTCCGTTCACGATCCCTTTAACTTTCCTCACATCGCTATTGTGACCTAGTTTTAAGCAGTTGTGCTGTTCAGATACTTTCGACGGCGCAATGTGGCTCGGGGGGGGGGGCAGTCGCCGCCGCGGCGTTGCGGCAACAGGAAATTCGTGAGCCAGGGGGAATGTAGCCAATTCAGGGGGGTCGGGGGTGAGGGCAGTCACTTGACATGCGTGAGAAGCTGGAATGTTCGAGTTTACACTACTTCGCTAAGCCGCGGCGGCGACTGCCCCCCCCCTCCCACCCGAGCCACATTGAGCTCTTTCGATATCTTAGGTGTGATAAAAATGGCAGAACCGTCCTCTCATGAGCATCGTCATTCCAGAAATGTACGGATATTTATTTATTTATTCATTGCCAATCACAGAAAATAATACAAAGTAGTTATCGAGTGTTTACCAGCCGATTGACTTATTGATTATCTAATAGAGAAAAACGTTTGTGGTAGGAACTCCATACGGCTCCATTAGTTAGTGCCATTAGTTTTGAGGGAGCAATCCGTTATGCACCGATAGATTCATATAGACCGGATGGAATTACTTTTAGAGACCATTAGCCACTGGATATCTTTACTGCGCGCGGCAGATCGCGCTTTTTGGTTTTATCAGGTTAAGAGGCGAGGTTGTCTTAGGAGCGCTAGAGGGAAGTAATTGCCGTGCCTGAAGGTTGTTGAGGTAGGCTGACCATGTGACAGCAATTCACACAGGGGTGTGAAACCCCGTAAGGCCCCGGAGCGTTCGGTTTCAATCCAGGGCCGCCTGGTCTATTCAGGACCTCCCAGCGTGGCTGGCATAACGTGTGAAATCGGCTGGGTTGATTGCGTATGCGTGCCTCTTTCCCAAGCCAGCCTCCTTCACTGCTAGTGGGAAAGAGGGTTTTGTTAACGGCCTTGTCGACGGTTTTTCTCAGTTTTTTCTCCACTGTCGTTCCACTTCGCATCTCTATACTCAGTTTCAATCGCCATAATACCCCCTTATTGAGCCCGACTTTTGCCTTTAATGAGTGCTGTAAGTGCAATGTCATCAGTGAAGCGAGGCAGTGTAGTTGCCATCCCATCGACTTCAATCCACGCGCTTCCAGTTCTGCTTTATCATGTGACGCTGTTAGAAGGGCATGCGTAGGAATTTTTTCGGCGCGATTATATCGCCTGTGCTATTAGTGGCACGCTTGTCTCCATCTTGAATAGCAGTTTTTGGCTACCCGACAGTGTTGGTTTCCTATAGGGTCGGTCAGAGCTACTCTATTCCAAGCAGCATTTTCAAATCCACTCATTTTCTTCGTCATAAATTTTTCTCTTATTTGAAATCTAGAAATGAATTTTTTGCCCCTACGGCGCATGCTTCTGACCTGAGACCACTTGCTCTTCCTAACGGACGCTTCTCAGTCTCATTTATACAGGATTATCAAAGTGGAATTTGATCTCGTTGGAATCGCAGAGTCATGCACACATCAGCTGACTCTTATTTTCTCCCCAACCCCTTTAAAGTTTTTTGCAATCAGCTGTTCCAGAGTTTTCTTGAGCATCGCAGTTCTTGAGGACCGATCGCTTCGTGACTTCAAATATTTGTCGGAGTTCTGTGTAATTTCGGTCAAAAAACATCGTTGATGAAGCGCTGACAGTTAGAAAGTTCGTGGAGTGCTACCGTAATCCAATATTTACGTTCACAGCGACGCTTTTGTCGGGCTCTCCACAAACCTGCATCCTCGTCTCGAGTTAATTCTTAAAGAAATTGTAATACTTAACGAAGCGGTTTGGGCCCCAACCAGTATAAAAATAACTGAGCAGTAACAGGATTTTGGAAGCGGGATCAAATAACCGTAAAGATATTACCATGAAGCTTGAGACCTTTTCCATGAGCTTATCGAATATTAACTTGAGACTTGAGCTAATTTCGGGTCTATTACAGTAAGGCTGCATAAGGTTTAAAGTATTTAACGTGTTTATTGAAATCATGGATAGCATATTCTTCTGGTGTAAAGGAGTTTAGGACTTAGGTCACTTGGAAGAGTGGAAAGCTGGGTCCGTGAGCAATCTTTGTTTTCTCCGGGGGACTTCCTCCCCTTCCTAGGCTTAGTCCTAGCTGCTCACTAGGTAAATATTACTTTTCATAGACGTTTATGTCATGGAAAGTGAAGAACACATAGATTACATAAAAAAAACCGGATGAAACAAGACAGGAATAAAGCTGACAGCACTTTGGCTCCTTGAGCACTAAAGGACTCATTGAGCAAACTGGCATGAGAACAGGCTCTGCACCGCACTGCTCCCCCTACTGGAATACACCCCACTTTTTCTGTGAGCTTACCATCAAATTGAATTAAGGTCATGATAGTTAAAGATTGTGAGCCAGAATTGTCAGTCTAATACTATTGATGTTGTAACCTATATGCCCTACTAACAATAAGCTGAGTCAGGTTAAACGTTACCTTTGTGAGATAGAGGTAGCACTACTGCCTGGTTGTCACCCTGTCTGAGGTTCGATTCTCCATTGAGGGAATGTTTTCAGCCAGAAGTCACCATGAGCATTTTTGTGGTAACTGCATTTTTATTGCAGTCGTATCCCGTAGTCAAACAGGAGAGCTGGCCGCTTTCACATAGACCACCCGCAACTTTCTAACTATTACACATAGAGGAGGAAGGATTCGCAAGAATAAATATCAAGCGTTTCAAGAGTACGTGACACCTCAACTTCGCTCTTTGTACGTGCGTACTTCCTTCTCTCACATTGCCCACTTTTATTGTCTAGCTGATACCATGCGCTCTGCTTGACTGGCAAGCCCTTCTATCCGCCTTCGAATTTGCTTCAAAGGCACAACCCAGGCAGAAGTCGTGTGAACGATTCTCTTCGGTCTGTAGGATAGACCCTAGAGGACAATCACAGATGTGGCATTCCCGTGCACGGAAATCACCCGACAAGAGCGCTAGGGCCTTGCAAAGTAAGCTGCAGCAGCTGCAATTTTTTTTCAGGCTGTTGTCTGGCGCCCTCTCATCTGTTGCGCTCTCTCGCCTCATACTCTCCTCTCCGCGCTTAGTCTCTCATTCCCTTAGCACAGCCGATTAGGAAGGTGAGTGAGCCCTTAACCTGAGCGTTTTCGATTTTCTTTTCCTTTTTTCTTTACTGCCGGCCCATTTCGCACCAATACATTCGCATTCGTGTGCAAGAGCCACACCAATGTGGTCCTGGGGCATGCCTTTGTTATATTGCCCTTAATATATTTCTTTGTATAGATCCCAACACTTATGCATAGTTTGTGCAGCTTTTTCCCAAGGCATGGCTCATATGAGTTCAGGTGAATAC